CTCACACACACACACACACACACTTCTGATGCCACTGTGATTAATTTCTGGGCTTTTCATAAGGTTTGAGGAGTTTGATTGGTCTTGAGATCGCTGCTCCTCTGGTGACCCACGCGACAGAATTAATTTCACAAATGGCTTTTCTATTAGATTGAGTGAGCGAGGAGGAAGATTCGATTGAATTCAGCTCCAGTCTGAACGCTGGATCAGATTCAAAACATGTTCCGGTCGCATGGGAACAGAACAGAAGAAATGAGCAGAACACACAAGTTAAACTAGAATTTATTGAATTACTATTCTGAGCAATTCATCAGCTAATGGCTTTCTGGAAAATGGAATGTTCTTCTATCCTTGTCCATAAATTAGTTTATACTATTTAATTTTGTTTATATTTTTTTAAGTGTATATAATTATTATTATTTTTACAACTTATGCACAGTGTTATTTTAGTCTTATTTGTATACTATTATATTTTTATTAATATTTAAAATCACCCTTTATTTGTATTTTATTTGTAGTCTTTCTGTTTTAGCTGAGTTTGTGTATTTCCGTTAAATCCAGTGCTTCAGTTTAAACTTGTTTGCGTTAGTTGCAACATTTCTAATTTTCATTCACCTAGTTATTTTATTTCAGATTTCAAATAGCTAAAATGTTTTTAATAATTGACTTTGTCAAGCCATGATTCAAGGTTTCTTAACCAACCTTCGTTTCTAACTAATTTAGCTGAATTTGAGCTCGTTGTAATTCTGCTTTCTGAAATTCAAACTGAAATGCTTGCCTCTAAAAATCTTCTGGGTTTAGTTGTGAATTGAGCAGAACAGTGAGTGACGTTTGTGTTCATTTCCATTCAATTCCAGTATTTGCCCGCTGGGATTGATTTCAGGGACATTTTTTTTAACCTTTTGCAAGGGCAGTTTTTCCATAATTACTTTATTAAATATATCTGGGGTTTTTTTTCATTAAAAATACTTAAATGGAAACAACTACTTCAATCAGAATCCTATAGATTGTAACCAATCAAATGTGATCAACATTAACAAAACCGCTTCTAATGCAGTGTTTACATAAAAACAGGAGCTCGTTACAGGGCTGCAGCATTGTGACAAAAATCCTCATTGCTGATGAATGTTTTTGATATTGTAATAGTGATTATTAATGTGGACAGTCTGTGATACTGAAGCTGGAGACGAATGAACGTGTGAATGTCTTCACAGGGATCACATTTACACGGTGGACATCGAGACGGCCAATACAGAGGAGATCTTCTTCAGTAAGGTGAGTCTGAGGATAGAGTTCGAGCGTCTCTCTCTCTCTCTAAGAGCTTTATCCCATCAGGAGCCGCTGTCACGTGGCATGTGCGTGCGAAACCGGCTGATTGATGGGGATGGATCAGAGCGGCGTGTAGTTTAAGAGCTGTAATTGAGTCCAATCTATCGATCTGACATTGATTTGCTGTCCGCAGAAGCTGACGTGGAAGTCCAGACAGGCCGATGTGGACACCTGCAGGATGAAGGGAAAGCACAAGGTACAGCTGATGATGTCACCGAGGAGCGATGATGTCATAGATGAGTGATGATGTCACGGATCACACGGCTCTGCTTCTTGAGGAAAAAAAGATGAAGAAAGGCCTAATATTAGGAAATTTGATGATGCGGAACTTTCCATGTATAGTTTTTCAACCAAAAAAAAAGTGCATTAAAGCTGATATGTATCCGCTTTAATGCACTTAAGAAAATCGCAAAAGCAGCAAAAGGACACATACTCCATTAAAGAACTTTACATAAACACAGGTTTATAAATAAATAAGCTTTTTTCCACAAGATCTGTGATTATCTGTGGCTGTTTGGATGCACTAAAAGCAGAGAAAATCTGGCTCATGTTTGCAAAAAAGGCCTAATATTACCTGATTCGAGTTAAAAAATATCAATAAAAAAATGTCCATGTGCAGTTTTTTCTCTAAATGAGAATGCAGATTTTTCAAATGATATACATGTACTGTATCAGCTTTAATAACTTATCAAAGCAAAAAGTCAAATGTCAGAAATGTCAGTTTTAATGATAAAGAAGCATTCAAAATGCGCAGAAAAATGTTTAAATACTCCATTTAATGTAAAAGGGAAAAAAAATCTACAAAGACATGTTTAGAATTAAATAAGCTTTTTTCTCAACAATATCTATAAGTTTGTCTCTGTTTGAGTGCAGTAAAAGCAGAAAACATCTGGCTCATGTTTGCATTTTCTTCTGTCTCTGGACATAATTCTGGATTAGTAATAAAATAATGCCATGCATGTGAAGATAGGCTGAGAGTTGAACAAACAGTTGTGATCTGGCTCAGAATCAGACAGAAATCATGTGTTTGTGGTGTTTTTCTGCTGAATAAAGGAGAATAAAAGACAGCACAAATGCTTGCAAAAGCAGAAATGCTATGAAATGCATCATATTTAGTGAGAAAGTGTGACATGCTCCAGCAAAACGGACACTATTATTGGACTCAGCAGCCAAAATGAGTAAGAAACAAGCGTTGGATTTCATTCAGCAGATATGGTGTAATAAGTTCTCGTCTCGTTCCAGGACGAGTGCCATAATTTCATCAAGGTCCTGCTGCAGCAGAGCGACGACTCTCTGTTCGTCTGCGGAACCAACGCCTTTAACCCGTCCTGTCGGACCTACAAGGTGAGACTGCAGTGTTCCTCTGACCTCTGACCTCAGATACTCAAATGACAGTCTGAAAGCGTCAGACAGCGATGGATAAGAGTGTACGAGTGATTGAGAGTTCTGAATGACACATGACGGTGATACAATGTTGCTGTGGGGATGTCCTTCTCTTTTCTTTTTAAACCCAGGTTATTATTTAGAAGAGAACAAGAATAACAATGCTCTTTTCAATCGTTGATTTAGGTGGTTACAGGCTTGTGAAATAATACATAATATTTTTTTCCGCATGTGCTTAAAGCCTTAAAGCTTGAACCTCGATAATCATTGCTTGTAGCTATATTATTACATTTTGTTTATATTTATTAAACAAGTAATATAAATTACCTATAAGTTTCTATATTTTTGCTTTTCTTTTATTAATTATTTTTTATTGTAACTTTTTCTTAAAAATCTTTCTTTAAAACATTTTTTGAATTTCAGTTAATTTTAATTCTACTTTCTTAAATTTAAATAGCAGTTCAATTTTTTAAAACATTTTTGTCAGATGTGAATGAGAATTAATTTAGCTTTCAAGTGCATAATACATTATGCATTGCCTTAAAAAGCATTTCATGACATAAATTTTTTCCAACTTGTTTACGGCTGTTAAACCTGTTGAATAAAGCAGCTTTAATTCATGCTGGAAGTGTTGATGTGAGTATTTTTGCTTTATATTGTTACATTGTAAAGTCACATTCGTTTCTATAGCGCTTTATACAATGCAGTTTGTTTCAAAGAAGCTTCACAGAAAATAACAGAATCAGTATTGCAAACTATATCATGAAGCCGCTCATAATTCATCTCTAGTCAGTTCAGTGTTGGGGGTAATGCATTAATCAGATTACTTTTTTCAAGTAACTAGTAAAATTTACAATGAAATACCTGAGTTACTTTTTCAAATAAGTAACAGCAGTCACTTTGTTTTCTCATGTATTGACTGACATCTCTTCTGTCCTCATGTTGAGAGAAATCCGGAGTAAATGCAGAGACAGAGGCTCACTCATTTCACTTTTGGTGTGAAAGGAACTTTATAGTTGCTAAAAATATAACCAAAATATATATTTTTTTTGCTATTAAAAAACGAACAAGTAAAAAAAAAAAAAAACAAGCAAACCCAGCCCAGGTGACAAAAAGTAACACAAAAGTAACGTGTAATGTATTACTTTCTATAAAAAGTAACGCAATTAGGAATGAGATAACGCAATATTGTAAAGCATTACTTTTAAAAGTAACTTACCTAGGGCTAAAAAAACGATTAGTTGCGATTAATCAATTCAAAATAAAAGTTTGTTTACATACTATATGTGTGTGTACTGTGTATATTTATTATATGTATATATAAATACACACAGACATATATGTATATATTTTTTTTAAACTTTGTATGTATTTGTATGTAAACACTTGTATATAATTTATATTATATATAAATATAAATATTTTACATATAAATCTAACATATTTTCCCTTAATATATACATGTATGTGTGTGTGTATATATATACGGTGTATATAATAAATACACACAGTACACACACATATAGTATGTAAACAAACTTTTATTTTGAATTGCTTAATCGTGACTAATCGTTTTGCAGCCCTAAACTTACCCCAACACTAGGGTTTTTTAAAACTTGCCCTGAACTCTTAAACGTGCAGGATCTCTGTGTCAGTGTGAGATTGGGACCGTGTGTTTTCTGACCAGTGATTGGTGAACCGTTTTAGAAATAGCAAACACTCTTCAGCTTTGAGATCACCAGTGTGTTTGTGAGGGAGCTCGAGAAAGGCTGGTTTTTGCTGTGATGGATTGGCTCTGAACGCTGCTGTTTTCACATTGAGCGGCTGGTTTAGTCTCATTTAGTGTTTTTGCTCGATTTGACCCCATCATCTGCTGCTCTGCAGTCAGTGAATCACAGAACGACCAGAAGATCTTCTGCAGCCGTCGCTGTCTAATAACTGGCTCGGTCCAGCAGAGAGATGCTGAAGCACGTTTGCCAAAAGCAGCACTAGCCGCTCACAGATTTCCCTCGAGCGGCGTTGTGTCCGCTCTGCTGTCCACGGCTCTGAAAACAACGTCTGTTTGAGGGCCAAAGTCGTCCCACTTTAATCATCGGCGTACAAATGTTCTCCTGAACGGATGCTGTGATCCGCGGCCTCCTCCTGAGAAGCCCATCTGTGGCCCGACTCCGAGTTGCTGGATTTACGGCTGGTGTCCAATACATCAGCTGTTGCCGGGCGGAACGAGCAGCCCGTAACTATCCCAAAGAGGATCGGAGCGCATGCTTTCCTTCTGACTGCTTTATGGCGGTCTGGTGCTGGTCCAGATTGGTTTATACTGGCTCTGAACTGGTCCAGACTGGTTTATACTGGTTCTGAGCTGGTCCGTTAAAAACAGATTTTTGGAGTCCTTTTAACAAGAAAATACTATTTCAGTCTTTCTACTTCAAAATGACATATTTAATTTAATGTTACTTGACGTTGCTTGGTAATTATTTGTGCAATTTCTAAGTGAAAATTGCTTCTAAGTAAATCCTTCAGCAAATTTTCAGAAAAACTAGGAAAGTAAATTCAGGAAAATTTGCCTACCAAAAAAATAGGGTCGGGAATGTAGTGAATTATAAATATATTTATTAATAATTTTATTTTTAATTACATAATTAGATATTACAGTACATGACATCAACAATTAAATGCAGCCCGTGGTTTATAATTAATATTAATGTGACTTTAATCTTTATAGGCGATTTCCTAACAAGCTTATCTCTGTAGATCATTTTTTGTGTAAATCTGCCTTTTTAAAAATATATTTTAAAACTAATGTTTATCTGCTTAATTATTAACCAACCAACAGTATTTTTTTGCCATGTTTACAGCAGGGGATGAATTATAAATATGTAAATTCAAAATGAGAATTAGAGATATTATAATAAATTGGTGGATACAATATAAACCATAAAATTAAAATTTTAAATAAATTTATCAAACGCCTCGTATTTGTATTTGTATCGTACTTGTATTTAATATCAATATGCTATTTCCTCAAGCCAGTATGTCTTAATACATGTACCTTTATATAACTCTACTTAAAAAAATATATATATTTATAATTAATACATTTATGTAAGTAAATAAATAAATGTGCTTCTTTATCTGCTAACCTCAGAGTATATATCTGTAGTTGAGAGGTTGTTTCAGTCATTTGTGCAGTTGTTGGATTGATTGTGAAGTGTTTAAACGCTGTTGTTTTCTGCTGTAGATGGGAAGTTATACTCGGCCACGGTCACGGACTTCCTGGCGATCGATGCGGTGATCTACCGCAGTCTAGGCGACAGTCCGACCCTTCGGACGGTCAAACACGACTCCAAATGGCTGAAAGGTGAGGTGATTTTACCAGGACAAACGTGCATTAGTAATATTTTGCTTGATGCACCCTCAGGAGAGAAACCAAACTGAAATTATGCCTTTTAAATTCGAATATTGATCATATTTAAGTACAAAATTCGAATGTATTTTTTCAGCCATGTTGACAGCTCTAGTACAGATAAACAGCAGATAAGACCTCGTTTATCAGCATCGAGATCCAGCAGATTCCCGTGAATGAACTCATGTTGATGGGAAGGCGCCACACACAATGACCCTGTTAGTCAGAGCTTCTATCTTACTCAGATTCACAGTTCATACAATCACAATCCGGCCCTTGTGTGCCGCTCGTGTCCGAGCCGGAGTGATTCACAGTTTTGTTATTTTGCTGAAAGCGTGTCTCCGTGATGAATGTGTGTTGCAGCATCCCGGGATCGGCCGTCTGCGCGTATGACATGGTGGAGATCGCGGCGGCCTTCACCAGACGCTTCAAAGAGCAGAAGTCGTCCGATTCCACCTGGACCCCCATCCCCGAGGAGAAGGTGCCCAGACCCAGGTATCCATCCCACAATCTTCCATTGGGTCTCTACTTACAGTCCAGCTCTCAGTCATTCTCCTCATTCACCAGCGAGACACTGCAGACCAAACCACTTGTATTTTGGCTGAAAACAAGAAAAAAAAACTAAGTAAGAAAAGCATTTTTTGCAGTGAATGAATGCAAAAAAGTTGCATTCAAATTTTAGGTGTGCGTCAGGAGTCCTTATCAGTGGCGCACGAGATGCGATGACGATGTGGGTGTCGTTGCATTTTAATGCTTTTTTGTTAGTCTGTCCAGTTGAAGCCACCAGATGCGGCGCTGCTGCGTTGTTCATTCAAAATATTGTTTTTTATATTTTATTTCTATTAATGATTTTATATTTTATTGTATTTTATTTAAATGTATTTGTCCCTGTTATGTACACACAAGTGTTTGCGAGTACGTAAACCTGATTCTCCAGATGCAGCAGCTGATTAAATCGTCTCACAGGACCGAAGATCTGCTTCCATATGGCTTGTCTCTGTGTCGTGAATGGCGGGACTATCGCCTGCGCTGATTAACATAAAATTATGTGTTAGTGTGAAACGAGGTCAAGTGTTAATGAGAGCGACCATGCCAACCGCGTCTCAATGTAATTCTGTTTCCTCTGTGGTGGGAATAAACCAATGCATTGCCCATTCAGCAGCTGCGCAGAACCATAAACCTTCCTTCATTCAACATATTTATGGCAGGCAGCTGAGATTCATTACAGTGCTTTAACCGTTCAAGGCAACATATTCATTACCGTGATTTAGGCTCACTGTCATGTGATTATGGCATTGGTTGGTCAATTCTGTTGTTCATATCACTGATGCAGTAGATAGAGATGCTTGATGTTCCGCTGTCGTCTTCAGGCCAGGCGTCTGCGCAGGATCTTCCTCTGGAGAGAAATTCAAAGTGTCCAACGAGTTCCCGGATGAAACGCTGAACTTCATCAAGCTTCACCCGCTGATGGACGAGGCCGTTCCTTCCATCGCCAATCGGCCGTGGTCAAGACGATGGTCCGGTGAGTCGAGTCGGGTCAGAGGTCCTTCTAAGACGTGAATTATGCATGGCGACTATTGTCATGCAAATATGGATTGGTGCCCATCTTCATAAGCGCTGCTCATTTTCGTGAATGAATCGAGTCATTTGCATGAGATTCAGACACGAAGCCTGAGCGTTTCATGAGAATCTGGAGATATTTCATGAATCATTATATCAGCTCGGCCCTGAAGGAAAGATGATGTTTCTCTCTAAAAAGCAAAAACACAGTGAAAGACTGCCGTCTGTCTTCTTATAATGAAGTGGATTATGGGAGAATTATCTGTTCTAGCAGAACGAGACTCTTTGAAACGATGTCTGCTTTCAGCCTGATAAGTTTCTGTTCATTTGGGTTTGTGTAAATGTGCCCCAGTAAAACCGAGTTATTGAAAACACATTTGCTGAAGAAGCGTCTGTATCCGTTTCTCTCGGCTTCAAAGACTCCACAGATTCGGAAAGATGAAAAAAAAAAGTGTGTTCTGGAGGAGCTGAGCGTCTACAACCCAGAGAAGTGTGTATTCCATTAGGACGAGCCGCTCTGTCATTTACACCCGTTTATCAGGTTACAGCGCGCGGTTAATAAATTAAAGAGCGCTGCTGGTTTGGACCACCAGGCCTTGCTGAATGATTAAAGCAAACAGAGAGTCTGGTTAATATGTGCTGTCACAGCGGAATAAACAGCAAACGCTGCCCACCAGGCTTTTTGAGGACAGCGATGCTGCGTTTAACCTCAACGCTAAAATGTTTATCTGCTTTATTAGCATTTTACATTCATGCATTTAGAAGATGCTTTTATCCAAAGCGACTTACAAAAGAGGAACAAAGCAATTTGTCTAAGAGCTAACAATATGTGTAATGCATAATGCCAGGTTTGCGAGAGAACTGGATGAGGAAGCAAACTGGAAAAGAGGAGAAATGCAGAGAGGATTTGTTATATTAAAGCAACACAGCAGTCCCACGTTACTGTGATTTACCATGTTCAAAACAATATACTGGATTATTGCTTGAATATTGGGGAGATGCTTGCGTTTTATTAACAATGATCATAAATATACATTTATGAATAGTAACAAGCTTAGGTTTTTAGCATAACTGGATGCAAAGCAACAGGAAACTTTCCACATGAAGCAAATGTGAGTCTACAGTAAAAAACATTTATCGGATTTACTACAGTTTTGGCTCAGAAATTGTTTGTGTGTGTGAGGGGCTTCCTCCACAGGACTGTTGTGTTTGTACTCTCCGACTTGATCATATAAAAAGAAACAGATGGAGCAAATATGGACACTAGTATCTAGCTCTGTTGTGTGGGGTGTTATGCAAGGACTTTGTTCTTCTAAATTCTGAGGAGTTGAGTTTATCTTTGAAGAGAGACTGACTGAGTTCATGTGGATTTGGGTCAGAAAGCCTCGACTTAAAGAAGTGTATACTTGAGTTAAAATAAAAGTTCCGTTAAAAATAAAGTCCTCATTTATGGGGTGAATGGTAATATGTATTGCGTAATCATGTTGGTTCAATTTAATACTTTACCAATGATTTAATAGTTTGATAAATGTAAACCAAAAGATCAGATTGATTTCTCACATTATGAACACTTTAAAGCAAATGTACCTTGATCTTTTGACACATAAAGCTCATTGTACTATTAAAACATCCTGCAAACATGATCACTTTTTGTAGAAACTATAGCAGGAGCACTATATATTGATTAGTAACTTAATTCATTTCACAAACACTTGAACTAATTAACTTCCTAATTCTGTACTAGTGGTGGAAGTCTTGGACTTTATGGCTTTAGATATGAATTACGCTACGTCTGATTTGACTAGTTTCTTCATTGGTCTCATTAAGGACGTTTTTAAGACAATCGATGATTACTTAATCAAGCCCATGCACCGCTTTTCAGTGTGTGTCAAACACGATGACATTGCGATTCGCTGATATACCTGGTGATTTAGGAATAAATTACTTCAAATTAGGGATGTTCATTTCGGTTATTTTTCCTAACCGACAACCGACGCTCATTAGCTGATTGTTAAGCGTTAACCGACAAGATTATTTTAAATTAGAATTGGATTAAATTAGAAAGGATAAGTGTCTGTGCCCCGTTAAAAATACTAACATTTGTTTTCCGGGGATTCATTTTACATGCGCAAAAAGCAGCAAACAACAGAACATGAGGATTCACATGCATCACATCACACACCTGCAGCGCTTCTGCCAGCGGAGAAAAACATAGTAAAGCTAGGCAATATAACGAATAAATAGGCCTATACGAGAAACATATTTTTACTTATATAATAAATTAAGAAAATGAAAGAAAAACTGTGCAACAAGTACTATATGCAGAGCTTCGGTTCATTTTTGTGCTGCGCGAAAGGAAACAGACGGCAGAAAGCGGCAT